AACACCCCAAACCCCAAACGTTTAGACCCTGAGACCCTAGACCCTCGACCCTAAACCCCTAAACCCCCAAACCCCTAAACCCCTAAACCCCCAAGCCCTAAACCCCTAACCCTAAACCCTAAACCCTAAACCCTAAACCTTAAACCCTGAACCCTGAACCCTAAACCCTAAACCCTAAACCCTAAACCCTAAACCCCCTAAACCCCCTCAAACGAGCTTGGCCCTGGAGGATATCTTGGCAGTGGTCATGTTCTGGAAGCACGAGGGCCGCCTGTCGTCATCTCATTGTGGCTCTCAAAGCAGGGTTTAGGGCTTAGGGTTTAGGGTTTGGGGATTAGGGTATAGGGTCCCTTTATAAATATAAATATAAAGATAAATATAGATATAAATCAGAATATAAATATGAATAAAGATAAATAAAGAAATAAACAAATAAATAAATAAATAAATATAAATATAAATATAAATATAAATATAAATATAAATATAAATAAATAAATATATATATATATATATATAACAATAGCTGCAGTACAGCAGTTGCAGCTGTTCTCCGCTTCAGAACTGTCCCTACCAAAGGCTGCTGCCATAGCAAGAGACAGAAACACATCCGGATACATGCCTTTGCTTTGAGACTATCGACCCCGGCTGCAGACAGGCAACGAGTGCCTCAAGAAGAAGGACTTTGCTAACGCCGATGTGTGCTATCGAAGCTTGGCGGAAGCAAGCTTGTTGCAATCGTGCACACGAGATGTTTGTCCACGTTGGCTGAGAACTGAGGTCAGGGCACAGTGTTGATCAAGGACTGTTCCGAAGAGACCTGTGCTCGTCATCATTCACTGATAGTGCTGCGGATCTTCGCTAGCGCCGGATACTGTTAAGCATGAAAAATAGGTATTTCCCCAGAATGTACATATCCAAATTAACCCCCCCCGTTATACGGATCCCAAAAAAGTTTACCCATAATGTGGGAAAACCCTAACCCCCTTTATAAGGACCCCAAAAAGGGTACACACATTTTGGGAAAACCCTAACCCTCTTTAAGAAAAAAACAGATGCATGCCAGGGCCTCCCGCCGGAGTTCGTCACAGACGACAAAGTCTCGAAGGCGATGGAGCTCGAAGCGGATCTGCTGAGCAACCACGCGCTCACGCTGCTCAAAGCACCTTGTTAGAGAACCCCCAAACCCTAAACCTAAACCCGAAACCCTAAACCGTAAACCCTACACCCTAAACCCCAAACCCTAAACCCTAAGCCCTCTAGAAGGAGATGTTGTTCCTACATGCCCTACGCTTTAGAAACCCTAAAACCTGGACTCATTGCTTCGTTCACCCACGTGCGTGATTTTGGGCTTCGCGCGAAATTCTTGAGCCTTTAAGTCGCGCAGTGCAGGCCTTTTGGCCGGTCTCCTCCCAAAGATGGCACCCCCCCCCCCCCATCCAAAAGAAAAAAACAAAAATCAAACAAAGCAACGGATGCTGGTTTGGAAGAACCCCCACGAAGACTGTTAAACCCTAAACCCTAAACCCTAAACCCTAAACCCTAAACCCTAAACCCTAAACCCTAAACTCTTAAATTGTTGCGGCGTCCACAGCCATGTGGCCCTGAGGTAGACCGACCGCAGGAGGCACACCCGCCTCTGAGTTGCAGGTGTATGGGTTTAGGGTTTAGGGTTTAGGGTTTAGGGTTTAGAGGGTTTAGGATTTAGGGTTTAGGGTGTAGGGTTTAGGGTTTGGGGTTTTGGGTTTAGGGTTTTGGGTTTGGGGTATAGGGTTTAGGGTTGAGGGTTCAGCATCTCAAGTTCGAGCATTTACTAGGCCAGCAGTATGTGTCAGTGTGTGTGTAGGCAAAGGAAAAACCCACCCGCCCAAAGAATCCTATAACATTACGAATATACAAAGTTTATGACTTTCTGTTCAGACGCACCAAGAGGCCAAACAATCACACAGACCTCAAGTTATTCCATCCAGGAACCCTGAGTCCTGAGTCAGTCCTGTGCCCTGCTGGCTTCGTGGCTCGCTGAGCTGCGGTGCGTGAACAATGGGGGGGCCAAAGGGGTCAGAGGGGCCGAAATGGATCAAATCGCCAAATGCGTGCTGAACAACGGGGGGGCCAAAGGGGGTCAGAGGGGCCGAACTGGATCAAATCGCCAGATTCGTGCTGAACAATGGGGGGGTAAAATTGATCAAACCGCCAAACTCGTGCTTAACATTTAGGGTTATCTGGCAGAGAAGTTTAGGGTTTCGGGCTTCGGGTTTAGGGTTTAGGGTTTAGGGTTTAGGGAGCGTTTCCGAAGGAAGACTCCTTAAAACACGTTTGGGATCCCTGTTCTGTTGGAAGGAACCTTCTTTCACTGAGGGCTGTTGGAGCCTGTGGGTAGCGACAAGCCCTTAAACCCGAAAACCCTTGACTGAAAGGCACCCTCGAAACCTTAAAGCCCTTAAAGCCCTTAAAGCCCTTAAAGCCCTTAAAGCCCTTAACGCCCTTAAAGCCCTTAAAGCCCTCAACCCTAAACCCTCAACCCTAAACCCTCAACCCTAAACCCTAAACCCTCAACCCGAAACCCTAGACCCTAAACCCTAAACCCTAAACCCCCAAACCCTAAACCCTAAACCCTAAACCCTAAACCCTAAACCCTAAACCCTAAACCCTAAGCCCTAAACCCTAAACCCTCCGGGTGGCAGCCCGAGGATGGCGGCAGAAGCTGCGGAGATCTTTGAGGAGCTGGGGCCAGGCGTTCTTGCCCCTTGCAGGGGGGTTTAGGGTTTAGGGTTTAGGGTTTAGGGTCCCTCTGAAGCCCAGAATCTACGACTTCTGCAACCGTTTTTACCTTTCCTGAAGCTTTTCTTGCAAGGTCGCTTGCCAAACCCTGAACCTTAAACAGCCCTGCAAGCATGATCCCACTTCAGAGTACCCCACCCCAATGTCAAGCAAATGGTTGTGCGCCTGGAACTGAATGCGCGGCTGCCGGAAAAGGTAGACTAAGGCAGAGGGAGGATGTTTGGTAGGTGGGGGTGGGGGGGGGGGGGGTACTATGATCCCTCTTAAGGACTCTTAGAATATGGGGGAGCATCCCAGGAGGCTTCTGTAAGGCATCGGCAGGTCCCGCGCCCGCAGTAGGTCATAAGTCGGGGATGGCAGGCTGCAACGCCAAGCTCGTGAAGGCTCTGCTGCTTTCTTCTGAAGTCATCGGCCGTTTGGTATTGAGGGTTTCGTTATAGTATTCTATTTTTACTATATTGTTTTTATTTTTATCATTGTAGTTGTATGATAACAATAATCCTTATCATTATTATTATTATTATTATTATTATTATTATGATCATTATTATTATTGTTATTATGTGTACATATCATTATGACAGCAATGTTATTCTCATCGGCTCCATGGACAAGTTGCGAAGTGCCTGGCTATCCTCCCCATGCGTGGCTCGTGGCATCATGTGGTTGAGACGTGAGCTTCCTCGCACCCGGAGCCCAAAATCTGAGCCCTCAACCTCCCTCAAGCCTATTTAGGATTTCGGGTTTAGGGCTTAGGGTTTAGGGTTTAGGGTTTAGGGTTTAGGGCTTAGGGTATAGGGTTTAGGGTTTAGGGCTTAGGGTTTAGGGCTTAGGGTTTAGGGTTTAGGTAACTCCTAAGCCATCGGCACTGGCTCACAACGAAGACCAAGTCAGGAAAGAGAACTGGTCACTTCTCTAAATTATCGTGCCTTCTGGGGTCCTTATTGCAAGCCGGCCCCTCTGATTTAGGGTAGCCCAAAAAGGGACCAGAATTTGGAGAATTGACTCACTGACGCCCCTGAAGGCTCTCTTTCGCTGCGGCAGCGCCTGCATGGCGCGCCTGCACGTGTGTTTGGGGGTTTCGGGTTTCGGGCTCGGCTTGGAACCCTAAACCCTAAACCCTAAACCCTAAACCCTAAACCCTAAACCCTAAACCCTAAACCCTAAACCCTAAACCCTAAACCCTAAACCCTAAACCCTAAACCCTAAACCCTAAACCCTAAACCCCATAGGGTTGGGGGCGGAGATGCTTTGCACTTTAGGGCCAGTTCGGACCTTAGGGTTCCGGGTGCAAGTTGAGTCTCATAGGACGCCCCAAATCCCACACATCCAAAAGCACGCAAAAGAAGGTTTATATCGCTGAAGCTCCTTAAATGGGGGTTTCCGAAAATAGGGGTGAAGGGGGTTCTATTCTACTTGGGGTAGAAAAGGGGTACCCCTATTTGGGGAAATGCCCAAAATCCTAAACCCTAAACCCTAAACCCTAAACCCTAAACCCTAAACCCTAAACCCTAAACCCTAAACCCTAAACCCTAAACCCTAAACGCCTGCCAGGGCCAGGCCAGGCACACCCACGGCGCGGATGCCTGCGAGGAGGCGCGCGAGGAGGCGCGGGAGCACTTCACCGAGGCGCTGCGCTTGGACCCCGCCGCTGGGACCCCCAAGAGAAGAATGTTCAGGAATGTAATAACACAGTAGTGTAAGAATGAATGTACTGGTTCAATAGAATATACTGTAACATCATTTGCAATTGTGAAATTATGAAACTAAAAGACGCGAAGAATGGCCGATGACGAAGTATGTAAAGTCATAAGATGAAAAAGCTATAAGTCCAAATATTAACACACTGCCACAGATATTAAGTACGAGCACAATAGTAGAGTTTATTTCAAAAAAGATATAAAGAAACAACAATACATTTTTCAACTTTTGTAGCAATGTAACCTATATTAATATCAGTCATAATATCAATACAAACACAAAGTAGAGTAATATTGTAATATAGTAATATAGTGATATAGTGATATAGTGATATAGTGATATAGTGATATAGTGATATTGTGATATAGTGATATAGTGATGTAGTGATGTAGTGATATAGTGATATAGCGATATAGTGATATAGTGATATAGAAACATAGTAATATAGTAATATACCAACATAGGAATATAGTAATATCGTAATATCGTAAGATCGTAATATAGTAATATAGTAAGATAGCAATATAGCAATAGGGTAATATAATGACATAGTACTATAGTACTATAGTACTGTAGTCATAGAAGAATAGAATAATATGATAAACTGATAAAGAGCAAGAGAGACAGATGGCATTGGGAGGTGGCGAGTCTTTGCGTTCAGAGGTAATGTGACGCAATAAGGCCAACGACGAGGTGCATGTTGCCTTGAGGCTGCTGGGACAACCTGCAGCTCGGCAGAGTCTCGAGCAACGGTTTAGGGTTTAGGGTTTAGGGTTTAGGGTTTAGGGTTTAGGGTTTAGGGTCGCAGCAATAGCTCTGCTCGTTGTCCTTGTGCAAAGTCTCGGAACTCCGATTTTGCCGGCATGGAATCCCCAGCAAACATGAGTCAATCGGCAGTCTTTGGACCTGATCTTGGCAGCCGTTTAATAGTTCTTGGCTCTAGTATCCTGGGCTGCTGGTCCAACATGGGCGGCAAGGCGGCTTGGTTCAGTTCAGAGTGTCAGGAATTGGCAGGGTATCCTCCTTGTGCAGCCATTGAGGGCATGGAAAATGCCTTGCGCCAGGTTGGCAGAGCCTGCTGTGCCATCAGTGGCAGGGAGAGTGAGGCCAGAATCGGGTTAGTCGGGGAGTCGTCATCTTCTTTACTCGGTAGCCGATGCTCTCCAACATTCTCCAACCAAGCTCCATGTTTCTCACCGGTCGTGATGTGATTCGGAATGTGACAAGCTATTTCATGTCACTTTGGCTACTCAGATGCAATGTCTTCCCGTATCGACCTGTGCCACGCCTCCACTATGTCCTGCCCCCCCTACCCCCCCCCCCCTGAACGCACCAATGACAATGTCATGCACATGAGCATGTATGTGCACTTCGCAGGACATCAACCACGTGGTGAGTTCACCTACCGCTCCGAAGGATGGGAGGCCTTCCGAAGCAGAGAGAGTTGCTATATTCTTGTATTCTTATATTGCTTTATAATTATTGTTATTATTATTGTTATTGTTGTTGTTGTTATTATTATTGTTATTGTTATTATTATTATTACTATTACTATTATTAGTATTCTTCTTCTTCTTATTATTATTCTCATTATTATTATTATTATTATTATTATTATTATTATTATTATTATTATTATTATTATTATTATTATTATTATTATTATTATTATATATAAGCATCGTATTGTGTTTTTCATATTGTTCTATAGTTCTTATATTGCTTTATCATATGATTATAGTAGTGTGTTTTTTTTGTTTTTCTATTGTTCTGTGGGGGCTTACTCGGGTTTTCGCGGCTTGAGTCTCGCGAGCGGCTGAAAGTCTTTGGCAAGGAAGGAGGAGACCCTGGAGTGGCTCAATGACCTGGTGGCGCAGCTGTGGCCGAACATCAACGAAGCTGCCCAGAAGATTGTGAAAGAACAGGTCCGAGGGGGGGAAGTGGGCCCGAACTGGGGCATCAAAGTTTGGGGTCTTAGGGTTTAGGGATTTAGGGTTAAGACGGATTTAGGGTTTAGGGATGTTTAAGGTTTAGGCAGGCTCTACGTCGCAGAAGGCCCCGTTGGCAGAGCTCGCCCTGTCAGGTCACGCCGCAGATCCAGGCGAGCCTCCCAGGGCCCTTGAAAGGCACGGCTCACGGTTTAGGGTTTAGGGTAGGGTCGAGACTCTGTCAGGGCGTAGGGCAGACTGAAGACCTGCAATCCCCATAGCCCTCCGGTGCCCTAGTAGGATTTTTTGGGGTTTAGGGATTAGGGTTTAGGGTTTGGGGTTATTTCTCGTCTGGCCAGGCACGCACTTCAAGACCTTCACGCTTGGTACACGCACGCCGAAGTTCGGCCCCATCGAGCTCGTCAAGCGGAAGGTCGGCACTTGCGACCCGTCCTCCCTTCCCGCTTCCATACTTGGAGGTTCATGGTACTTATTAACTAATTATAACTGTACTTATCACTGTACTTACAGCCATATTCGGGCACTTAAGGGCTTCTGAGTGGGTTATAAGTACAGTTATAATTAGTTTGTAAGTACCATGAACCTCCAAGTATAACCCGTTCAGGGAATCCGAGCCGTGCTTCCCCTTAATTCCATATGAAGAGTCAGTAAGTTCGGGCTTAGGCTTTGGGATTTAGCCTCCGCGTGAGCCAAGGAGGGGACCATCCCGCACAATTCTGGTAGCCTCCCCACTTCACGCCCTCCCCCAACCAATCTCAAAACATAAAATCCGAAGATGCCCAAACCCTCAGCCCTGAACCCCAAACCCAAAGCCCCGAAACCCTCAACCTTAAACCCTGAACCCTAAACCCTAAACCCTAAACCCTGAACCCTAAACCCGAAACCCGATGGCCCTTACGCCTTGCTGTCCCCGCGCTTCCCCTTCTGCCCCTGAAGCCTTGCTGTCCCCGCACTTAGAACCCACCTTATAAGCCCCTTAAGTGCCCTTACATGGTTATAAGTACAGCTATAAGTACAGCTAGAAGTACAGCTACAAGTTACAGCCATAAGTTACAGCTATAGTTGGTTAGTAGGTGCCATGAACCTTCAAGCAAGCCTTGCGGTCCCCCCCGGCAGAACGGGCTGAAGCTCAACCTCGGCTTGGACTACGAGTCGGACGTTGACATCGAGATCTCTGCGGTGGTGGCCAGCTCCCTGGCTTTGCACGTTGAGCACATTTTTTCATATTTTTTTGGTCGTTGGTGGTGGGGGAATTTAGGGAGTGTTGGGTAGGGAATGATGAGGGTTTTTGGGGTTTGGGGATGGGGTTGGGTGGGTTGGGGGGGTTGGTGGGTGGAGGTTGAAAGTTGCAGTTTCCGAAGCTTCGAAGCAGCCCCGCAGGCATCGGCATCAAGTCCATCCGGATGCGGGGGCAGCTGGTGCTCCGAATGGAGCCGCTGATCCACGAGAGCCCAGTGGTTGGAGGCCCCTTGCAGCTTGCAGGGCCTAAACCCTAGGGGATACCCGGATACCATAAACCCTTAAACCTTTCCGTTTCGGTGGTGTCATTGGGCACCATCACAGTCTGGCCGACTAGGACGGTTCGCGTCGGCAGCAGTCTCTGGTATGGGTGATTGGGAGTCTCGAGTGCAGCAGAAACAGTCCAGAATGCTCCTGCCGTACCCATGCCCCTTAGCGAGCGAGCGGGCGAGAGACAGAGAGAGGCAGAAGAAGAAGAAGAAGAAGAAGAAGAAGAAGAAGAAGAAGAAGAAGAAGAAGAAGAAGAAGAAGAAGAAGAAGAAGAAGAAGAAGAAGAAGAAGAAGAAGAAGAAGAAGAAGAAGAAGAAGAAGAAGAAGAAGAAGAAGAAGAAGAAGAAGAAGAAGAAGAAGAAGAAGAAGAATAAGAAGAAGAAGAAGAAGAAGAAGAAGAAGAAGAAGAAGAAGAAGAAGAAGAAGAAGAAGAAGAAGAAGAAGAAGCAGAAGCAGAAGCAGAAGCAGAAGAAGAAGAAGAAGAAAAGAAGAAGAAGAAGAAGCAGAATAAGAAGCATAATAATAATAAGAAGAAAGGTAAGAAGGCAAAGATAAAGTTAGAACAAAGACAGAACGGCAGAAGAGCGAAGTACACAAAAACAACAACGAAGTACATGCATGTGTATATGTATATGTATATGTAGATGTAGATGTAGATGTAGATGTAGATGTGTATTTATATGTATACGTATATGTATATGTATACGTATATGTATATGTATATGTATATGTATATATATATATGTATGTATGCATATATACATATATACATATACATAACGAAATAGGCGAACTAACCAGCATGTTAGTTCGTCACGGCAGGAAACAAAGTAAACACACACACAAACACACGCGAACGAATGCATAAGATAACGAACACGACAGAGCGAATGGAACAAGTACAGCTTCAGATATGGTACATCTGAGAGTCACGGCCGCGGCCAGGAGTCACAGCCTACTTCAACGATCCACCAGAGCTGGCAGCCCGAACGCCATGGTAGACTGTGCGGTTTAGGGTTCAGGGTTTAGGGTTTAGGTTTAGGTTTTAGGTCAGGGGTCTTTGCGTGGATAGGTTAGCAGCAGTGTCGAAGGGGCCCTTCAGCGCTACTACAGCAGCCTTGTCTCAGCACGCCAAACGGGTATCAAGCCCAGATGAGTTAGAACGGCTACGTGCTCGCGACTGGTGGTTGACTGCTGGTTCATGTGTGCATGCCGGGAAACAACCCGCGTAAGACGTGCGTCCGAGTCGTCACCACTCCGTTGAGGGTCAGATGGAAAGTAACCAGGCTGTCCACTATGACACCACGTCAATCCTCAACCGCAAAGCCCTAAATCCTACGCAAGGGTTTAGGGTTTAGGGTTTGGCGCCTAAGCGCGCAAAACCAAGGCGCGCACAGCCTCTCAAACGAGCCTAAATCCAGTCCCCTCAACTAAGGGGTGTTGGGCTCTGTGGGCGCTGTCTTTCCAAGGGTGGATACCTGGAGGTTCATGGGTACATGACCAGGAATAAAATTTCGTCGCTCTTGACAAGACACAGTTGACGGAGGACAGCGGAGTATTGCATCATGGTTTTGTCCTAGCCCTGCCAGCGGAGGAAGGAATCCACTGGAATAAACTTATAAACAAATTTTGTTGTTCCGGAGGAGGACCCGGCGCTCGAGTCTGAGGGGGAGAGGGGGTCTTCTGCTGTCTTCTTGTGTGGTGGTGTGAGTGCGACGAACTTTCGGCCTGCCGCAGTAGTTCGAAGCATGGATGAAAGTACCCAACAGGGTTATAAGTACAGTTATCATACTTATTAACCCTACTTATAACTACCCATGAACCTCGGGTTTAGGGTTTAGGGATTTGCGGGTTTAGGGCGTTTAGAGATTTAGGGGTTTAGGGTTTAGGGATCCAAGGACCTGGACTTCACGGGGATCGGCAACGTGGCAGATGCTCCAGGCATTGCAGGCCTCATTCGCTCACAGATCAACTCGGTCATCAGCACCCTCGGCTTCACTTCGGCTTAAGCCCTACGCCCCCAAAATCTTTTACCCGAAGCCTTAAGCACCAAAGTCCTAAACCCTAAGCCCTAAACTCGATTGGTGACTCAACCGGCCTCAAGCCCCTAAACCCTCGACCCTCTACTATAGGGGCCTGAATGATTAGAACCGGGTTCTGGGGTTCTTGTAGTAGCATCATAAAGGGACTAGAGTCCTACATTAGGCCCAGGGTGCGGGCTCCTGCTTACGCTTCTTCTCGGCTCTTTGGCCTCCCAAAACTCTAGAC